TGGTGGCTATTGCAAATTGCAATAGCCACCAGCAGGCTGTCTATTGCACCTGCCCACCAAGCAGAGGAGCGGACACCGAGAAAGGAAGTTCTCTCTTAGTTCCGCTCCTCTGCTTAGTGAGCTGGTGGAATAGCCAGCCTGCTACTGGGACTGGTATGAATTGGGGGGGAGGGGGCACGCTGTTTAAATGAATTGTCAAAAGCTAAAAAGAAAAAAGTAACCCTTTTCCGCAACGCACGTTCGTTCATAAATATCGTTTACTTCAGCCGAAATGAAAACAAAAATTCTGAATCTGAATAACGAAACAAATAGATTTTTGTACCCAAAAACTGAAAAATGACAAATCCAAAACAAAACAATTTTTTTGCCAGCTTACATGTCTAATTGTGCAGTATGTATGTAAAGCACTGCCTAAATTGTTGGTGCTATACCTGTAATACATAAATATTATAGCTTCAGCTTTGATAAAGTTATAATTTTACCAGAGTCACCTCCATGTTCCTTCATTGAGCCACGCTGATTTTTAGAAGATCTTTTGGTTAAGCCTCTTGGTGGTTTGCTGGGAAAATCCATGTCATCAGATTCTATAAAATAGTCATTAACTGAGGAGTTGCTGTATCCAGAGCTCCTGGTCGATATCCTCATACTGCAACCCCGCCTTAGCTTGGTGGTATTTATAGACCGGGATACCTGCACAGAGCACAGCTGACATCCCTGCAAGAAAGTAAGACAAACATGCTCTAAATCAGTGGTTCTCAACCTGCGTAACCTCAGGACCCACATTTGAAATTGGTCATCAAGTCATGACCCAAGTCGCAGTAGTGCGTGTTCCGGTGCGGGCGATCGAACTGTGGCTGGGAGGTGCTTTTGGGGTGCCATTCAAATGAATGGCAATGCGACGCACCTCCCACACCAGAACGTGCGGTAGGTGCGATTGCGTGGTACAGTGCATTATTCGCCCAGAATTCTGATTAACGCACTGTTAACGCAGAGTTACTATTAAAAATAGGTCTAACTAATGCTCTACCCCATACTATACCATAACATAAACTCTGTATTGACTTCATAATAATATTGAAATGCAGTTTGAGGCTCTGTGGGCATTCTGAAAATAAAGTGATGACTGAACTATACAACTAGAGGTACTTGCTGTAGCCTTTTGGCCAGTTTAAAATATGTGCAGCCATAACAGGTATGCTTTTTTTTTATTAGTAAGGAAAAAATAGAAAGAAATGTTTAGGTTCACTTATCTTACATAAGAGAGGGTAACAAAATTCCTCCTAAAGTGGAAGAAATAGGAGGGGCGTGGCCGGGATGTGAGACTGAGCAGACGTGTCTCATGGAAGAAATAGACTGCAGGGGGCCTTATTCAGATAAAAGTTTGGCTTTTTGCTTTATACCCATTATCATTGCTCCATGTTGAACATTCACTCTTGCCTTGGTGTCAAATAGCCAGTCTTCCTCCCAAAACACTCACTGGCTATGTATAATATGTTGTGTCTGCAAGCACACGTGCCCATCTTGTCACAGTGCCCTGCCACCTTACACCATTTGCAACCTTACCTATATTAGTGATACCGGTATCACTTTCTATAATAATGCTCATAACAATTGCCCCAGTCCCTTACCACAGCAACAACACATAGTACTGAGGGACACAGATGGGAAGTAAAAGAGAATGATCCTACTCTATCCTGTCCACCTGCCACCTTCTGCCTTCCCATATACTTCCAGCTGAACACCCGTGTTCCTCTGGGCCCCAGTGAAGTAGCACATGATGCATAGGCATATGTCAATCCTTGTAAAACCCTTTGTTTATATATTTTAAAAATAACGGTTAATACTGTCCACTAGCCTCGCAGATTATTTTTAGTCCTATGAACAATCACATTTTCATATATGCATTCTGTTATAATTTGAAATTACCTTTTCTCTCCACTTGACCATTCGCTCACTGCACGGATGTGTTGGGAGAGACTGCTGCTCCAACTCAGCTAGTGTCAAGGACAGTTTGAAGTAATTTGCTTCAAGAAGGTTTATTTTCAGATTGGTCTATAAGAAATATAATCTGCACATTTTAGAATATCACTCTGCAACCTAGAAGTTAGATTTGAAGACAATAAGCCAAGATCCCAATTGGATTGGTTCTAAATATTTGAGGTCCTTGTTTAAAAGGATTCTATTGAGAACAAAACTATGGCGCTCCAAAGAGTGATCGTTGGGGGTCACTGAATATATCAATATATCATTCTGATACATCGGCAAAAAGAATTGATCACTATTTTTAGTATTGAGTAGCGTGGGGAAGGGTCAGAAGTGAACCCTCAGTGCTGTCTGTGCCCCTATCGTGGTGATTTCTCTATTTTCATGACCTGGTTATCACACTGGAAACGAGTATAACCTCCCAAAAAAGGTTTAAAAAAAGACAGAGATCGAAATCTTTCTACCCCTTTAATTCAATTACATATAACTCAAAAATACTTACATGTATTTTAATTGGCACTTTTATCTACTACATTGTGCTAACTACCTGTAAAGGACAGGAACAGCAGTGTAAGCTAGTCTGCCTGTTCTGCATTGCATAGTTCTCCTCCTCACTGGAGGAGAAAGTACAAAGATGACCTCATCAGTAAACTGCTGTTCCTTCACTATGCAATCAACGTCTTGACCACAATGAAACAAACAATTGTTTAGGACATGTTAAGTTTCTGGCAGGAACATCTGGATTATAGAATTGGCTGAATTAGTATTTTTCAGAGTTCTCAGTTCTATTTTTTTTATTGCGTATTTAACCGTGTACCTTCACATACATAAATGCCCGTGTGGTAACACGCATAATGCTATTGGTTAATGTGCAGCACCACAACACTATGGGGAGTATATATAAAAAAAATTGCAAAGCCATTCGTCCTGTGAAACTCCATGTACATTTGTGCTGCGCAGGTAGAGGCAAACACAAATATTATTAGTATATTTTCTTTTCAGGTTAAATGTAATATTGGGAAAATACAGCATTATGGTCACTAATTAATAATTATTTTCCGTGCCCCTCGGCGCCATCTAAATCATTTTTGGTCTAATTTTAGGCTAAATTTTTGGTCTAATAATGCATTTTTGGTCTAATAAGGCCCATTAAAAATAAATGAGCAATGCAATGCAATGCAATGCATTAATACATATTGAGACACCTGAAAATGCACACATAGGTGGGTAGGGGCCCTTATAGTAAAACACAATAAATGTATCATCATCTGGTCTATCAATGAGTGATAATTTTGTAAATGCTGCAAATTATTGGTAAACGAAAATGGTATATCCTTTTTGTAGGTTAATTGTTTCAGAAACAGAAAGAAGCACTGCAGAGAAATGTATATAAATAGTGATAGAATGGGACTGAAATCTATGCTAAACAACTGACATTCCCTCTTATGTGTGTGCATACATTTTGATTAATACATACCTCTTCTAGAAGAATGGTCGTCTCTTCCTCATTCTTCACATCAGAAAATGCGGGATTTTCTTTATAGGCTTTCAGCATTTTCTCCAACCCTGGAACAACATACATTTCTGTGAGGTTGTTTTTGTATACTTGTTATTTAAAAAAATAAGTAATCAAAACTTTGATATACAATCTAATGTCATCACTGTTGTCTCGTACACCAATTTGAATGAAAGGCAGCAGAACTACCAGTGTGCAGGGATGGATTTCGTATATATAAGTGGTGGACTAGGGCGGCAGGTTTGCCAGGAGCGGGGGTTTTGCATACAGCAACCAACAAATTGGGGTGTATTAATAAATGGAGCAGCCCTGCAAATATCTGTGAACACTCATTCTGTGCTGATATATGCAAAAACAGATTCTTTCGTTTTGAATGCTTTTTCATGTAATGTTGAACTGTGGCCAGTAGATGGCCCTGAGGAGCATAGAAAATAACTACTTATTTCCTGTGCTCCTTTAGGTGCATCTAGTGCCATATTGCAATGTTACATGAAAAAAACATTCAAAGATTCATTCCCTTGTAAAGAAAAAAAACGAAAGAATATTCTTTTTGGCACATTTTCGCACAGGGCCAACGTTCACAGATATTTGCATGGTGATGTGTTTATAAATAGACCCCATTATGTTACTTACTGTTAGTAACACATTCCTGTGTACAATAAATGATTCCAGGCTCCATGATGCCTGCCAATGTAGTTAGGATGCTATTCGGGTGGTCCTTTATTGTTGCTATCCCTACACAGTTTGTGCATTTTAGATGGTGGAGCAGTGTACTGCGTAGCTGGCCATGCACAGGGAGATTTCCATACGAACATTCAAAAATCTTGTCAAAACATATAGTATTGTAATCAAAGACTCGTAGAATGTCAATAAAATTGTTTATTTGATTTTAACTGGCGAATTTGGAAATAAATGGACAACGACTTTGACTGTTAGAATTTCCTTCATTTGAGAAAAAAATTCCATCCTGATTTTTTTGGGCACTACAGTAGAAATTGATAGACAATTTGACCCTACTAGCTAGACTAGAAAATCGAACAAATGTTCCAAAACTATTTTTTTTAGAATAAAATTCGACTGGTGCATGGCTAGCTTTAGAATCAGACTGTATGGGCCATAGATTAGCCTACCCTTCTAGTTCAGTACTGGGTGTACTTATGCAGACTGTGGGCAAACTGTCTCTTTAACCTCTTCTTCCCCATTCCCGGTGTGTGGCTATGACACCTGATCATTTTATTGTGATATTAGGTCTAGCCAGATGACTGGAGTGAAAGTGGTGTAGCACAAGACACCACTACTGACCCAAAAGCACAAGAAAAGTCAGCTCAAATATGCTCAAAATCATATAAATAAGCCACAGAGGTTTTGGGATTCTGTTCTGTGGAGCAATGAAACAAAACAGGAACTTTTCGGCTGTATAAATTAGTGGTACGTCTGGAGAAAGAAGAGTAAACCATACGCTGAAAAGAACACTCTTCATACAGTTAAGCATGGTGGTGGCTTGGTGCTGCTCTGGGACTGCTTTACATCCTTTGGCACCGTAAACCTGCAGCGTGTGGAAGGAAAGACGGATTCATTGATGTATCAGGAAAACATAGGAGAAAATGTCACGCCATCTGTGAGGAAGCTGAAGCTTGAGCGTCATTGGACCATCCAACAGGACAATGTTCCCAAGCATACCTCAAATTCCACAAAGGCTTGGTTGCAGAAAAAGTCCTGGAAGATTCTACAGTGGCCATCACAATCACCTGAATTGAACCCCATAGAAAGTCTCTGGTGGGATTTGAAGAAGGCGGTTGCAGCACTCAAACCCAAGAATATTAGTGAACTGGAGGCCATTGCTCATGAAATTCCTCACGAATGCTGCCAGAAGCTGGTGTCTGGCTATGCATTGTGCGTGCAGCAGGTTATAACAGCAAACGGGTGCTCTACTAAGTATTAAAGATACTTGCCATCATAAGGGGTGGAATAATTTTGAGACTCCAGAAGCCATTAAAAGTTGCATTTTCATTTGAATTTGGGGAAACCATTTGAAACATTTGTTGATCTGTTCATTGTAAACAGCTGAAAGTCTGTCAATTCTGCCAATAAACCTGATTTTCAATGGGGGTGGAATCATTTTGATTACAACTTTAACTGCCAGCATGGGAACAGTGAATTCACAGGTGACTGGAACCATTGCTGTCTACCATAGCAACAAAGGAGTAATTCACTTTATGGCCCAGGAATCCTGACACATCATATTGAAAAATCAAAGGCAAATAAAATGGAGCGGTTAGTCATAAGAAGCAACTGAATTTATTTACTAGTCTGGCAGACTTGGGAAAGAAAATCAACACCTCATTGGTTGGCATTTGCATTATATTATGTTCTGTTGTTCCAGCTTTAACAAGCTATATAATAGAACTTGGTGATGGAACATAATGAAAATGAAGACCAGTCCTCTTTCTTACCATCTTTGTCTTTCACAGCTTTATCAATGTCATTCTGAAGTCGTTCTAGTTTCCCATTGATGGAAGCTACTCTTCTCTCATGATCCATAGAAACGGAGCCATCTTCCTCCTATCACATAACAAGGAGGCCAAAAAGAGTTGCAAATATGTAGACACAAAGCGTGTAAAAATCCTCGGGGTGGGGGTGGGGGGTGTTACTGAATAACTACTTACATAATAATCAAGGAGCAGAAATTCTGATTTACTGTCTTCAGTAAAAATGGTGGTTTCCTCCATAAATGCTTGAATATCCTTCTCAACATCAATGTTTTTAATGGCCTGATCAATTTGATTTTGACACTGTAAGATATATGGCAATAAGAAGAATTAAAATACAAAAGTGAGAGGGATTCCATCCAAAGGAGACATAAACAAAACCAAATACAGTAAACTCCCAGTTATCCAGTTACCACGGGGATCGGTAGGTGCCAGATAACTGTAGTTTCTAGGTGCTTGAGAGTTAATAGCAACACTCAAGCAACCGCAGACACACACCCACCACCCCCTCCCCACCCTCACCCCTGTTGGCCCATTCCCTGGTTGACTAGATACCGCAGCAGTCAGGAGAATGGAAACAGCGGGCAGTGGGAAGGGAGCATTGGTGAGACTGCTAATGGCTAATTCAAATTAGCCTATAGCACCCACCTGCTGAGCAGAAGAGCCCACTGAGCAGAGGAACAGACCTGAGAGGTTTCTGTTTTCGTCTTGCTGCGGCCGATGGCTAGATTGCACAGCTGGAAGATGAATGTAAATAACGGCCAGTGGGCGCGTGCAATAGCCAGCCTGCTATTGGCTATTGCAATTTGAAATAGCCAATACCAGGCTGGCAATTGCTTCCCATTGCTTACATAAGCAGCTAGATATAAACAGAGAATTTTGTTAGCAACATTTAGCTGCTAACAACATTTTTTTAGTGTGTACATGTCTATCAAGCAACCACAAAAAAAGTATTTTATTTTGCCGGTTGCTTGAGAGTGCTGGTTGCGTGAATGCTGGATAATGGGGAGTTTACTATTATCAAATAGTGTTATGAAGAATTAGATCTTCTGTGGAGGGCAATTTCCTCTCATATCCTGTCCAGGTCCCCTATGGGAACGCAGACAAATTTAAAATCTGACAGAAAAATCTCCTAAATGGAGACACAGACAGAATGTTATAGCTGAATTCCAATCAACGATAAAAAGACACAAATGAATGAAGCTCTGTAATAAATAAATACATTATTAAATATATTTTAAAAATGCAACCAGTGTAAGTGCCTGACTTTGGCCTGGCATGAGCCTCTTGCAGTCCCCTGTACAGAAAAGCTCAGACTGGAGGAGGGAGAAGGAGCATAAGGAGCCAACCATTTGTTCTTGCTGTGCCAAGAGCTTGCTGATAGTGGGAGAGAGCAGAGTGGAAGAGAGATGTGCTCATGAATCTGCTGCTTCTCTTTTCACCGTCCAGTCACAGGCTAGGTGAGGGACAAAACCAGTAAGTGTTACTTAACTGCAGCAGAAATAACATCAGGTCTCCTGCCCTGGCAAACAGAGCTGTGCTGAGTGGGAGAGCTGGTTAAATCTCAGGATGGCAGAGACAGGGTTTTAATTCATGGAAGGTCCGGAAAATCATTGTTTTCATATTTACAACTATAGCGAGAGGATCGCAAGTGGCGATCGGCATTAGTTGGTAAACAAGGCCATGGAGCGCATTGTACATACTTAGCTAGCATAGATTGTTTTTTACTGGTCCATACGAGAAACCATTTTCTCCGAAAGGATATGCTGATCCTGGGCCCCCATTTTTGCATCAGTTCCCATTTGCATCAGGAGCCACACTTTCAATTATCAGCCCCTTCTTTTACATCAGAGTCTTCCTTCACACACTAGTAGCTCCCTTCACATCAGAGCCCCCCCTCTCCTGCCACACATTGGAGTCCCTCCTTTGCATCAGGAGTCCTCATCTTTCACATCAGTCCCCCCTCACACTAGGCAGGTCAAATCAGAGACCCCTTTTTCACATCAGAGTCCCCTCTTTTATATCAGGAGCCCCTTAACATTGGAAGCCTACCTGCACCATGGAAAGACATGACGCTCTTCGAAAATTTCCAGGCATCCCTGAGGAAGTCAGAAGGAACCCCAGGATGCCACTGTACCCTAGTGGACAAAGGCTGCCTTATGGCTACAATGTCTACTATACCTTCCCCATTGTCCTTTGCCTGATTTGTTAAACTTGGTGCTCCTATTAGATGGACCTCTCAGGCTTGACCTTTAGGCTACAAGCAGCCAGCCCTCCAGTGCAGTAACTACATTACACATACTGTCCCTGTTCTTTCCACGCCCTTAATATATAACCCTCTATTCATTTTATTAACATTGGTATCTTTTTATGCGCTTCAGCTTGGCAACCAGGAAAAAAAATCTGTTTGCATTTAATTATCTGTTGATGAACTAAGAGGCAAAAGGTTAGCACTACCAATAACTGAATTTCCTTAAACATTATATAAATATTCTTATCATAAAATAATATACTTGTGAAGCTTGTTAAATAAACAATAAAGCCAGAGATAACTACTAGGCATTACAACCGGGGCTTTGAGGCTGAACTCTAAGCAAGCAGCTAAATACACAGTTCAAATACACATATGAAAGCTGTTTTAAATGTCAGAGGATTTGTAATTCTTTGCAAGCAGTTTTGTTCTCCTGACACCCCTCCCAGACACCACAGAGAGCAGCAAAGCTTGGTCAAAAACACACCCACTGCCTGCTGATTGGATATCAAAAGAAAACCAGGACAATTATCCTATCATTCTCCTGTCTGCATGTTCACTGTCAGCACATGTGCAGCAACATAGCAGAGTCTAACTGGGTCCTGTATAGGGGACTAGAGGAGGCTAATGTGATACAGTTATGCCTGGAGTTCGATTTTAAAATACAATTTGGGCTCCAGCGTTTCTTGAAAAGTGGACCATGTGGTAACTGAGAAAAACTCATATAAAATCTTATTTAAAAAAATCACGGAAGCAAAGTGTAAAGATTCTAACTTTTTTTAGAATGAGGTGAGTATATAATGTTTATTCTTCAAACAAAACATAGAGATTCAGTGAAGTCATGGTAATGCTTTATAGTTATTTGTTGAATCCTCCTACAGAATATGTTGTCATTGCCCTTTGACCTCTAGTTGGCTAATGTTCTGGGACTACATACGGTGGTATTCTCCCATGGTATTCTCTTTGGGCTCAGCTATTAGTGTGCCATTTCCTAGGACCACAAGCGCCATTTCCTAGGACCACAGGGGCCACAGTGCCCCTGTTCTTGGACTCCAACAGTCAGTATGATATTATTCTTGGGCACCAAGATGTCATTATGGCAATACCCTTTAACAATGAAATATTAAAGAATATTTCTCAAAGTGGGCAAGTACCTACATTTGTGATTCACAAATGAAATTGTTTACAGAATGACGGACTTTAATGGCACCCTCATACACAAATATACTTTTTTCCATTTCATTTATTTTAAAAGTATATATGTGTATGAGGGTACCATTAAAGTCTGACATGATGATTCTCTAAGCAATATCCTTAAATCCCATCTTTCTAGTGGTTGCTTTTTAATGCAGTAGAGAATCACACAACTGTAATATACTACATAACATAAAAAGTCAAAGATCACTTACCACACTGAGTGTTTGCCCAAAGCTGGAAACATGCTGGTTATACAATGTTAGTATATGGGATAGGATTTGTATTCTTTCTTTCTCAAGATCTTGGATACTCTGAAATCCAACAATAAAACACATGAAAATGTATGCAAAAACAAAATCGATAACACAGTCATTAATTAATGATCAAATTAAATTACATAGACAAATGCATGTCAAGGGGCAATTAAATTGCCATGATACAACTAGAAATTCAATATAAACAATATAATAGATATTTTTCCATTGTTTTTAGATACAGTATATACTTTTGTCCATATTTTGTACTCTGATGGGTCCCTCTGGTAGATGGCCTCTCCCATTATATGACCCCAACACAGGAGCTGCAGTTTGTTTGTTTTTTCCATGTGGACCCCTTTGCTTCATCTATACTGCGTCTGTACAGTTTAGCCCATAGTGGAGCACATATGCCTGTCTATACACTGATCACGCCTGTACCCTATTCCGGAATAAAGTGTATCTGAAACAATATGCACCTGCGATCAGTTTAGCTTTTGCATTACATGACACTGTAGGGAAGGGTTTTACTTCCTCCTTTTTCTACTGAAGCTTTAGGTTGGATTTCTTTCAGTATTGGCAGCTTTATTACAACGCATGCTTCCTCCTGTATGGGTGATTTGTCCACAAAATACAGTCATACCCTCTAAAACATGCCTTTTATTCTTCATTGTTCCCTCCATTGTTAAGGACCGAGGCTTGCTAAATTGGAGGATTTGTTTTGCAAGAATAGTTTGTTGCTTTTAATAAGTGCAGAGGTGTATTTGTTGTTTTAAATATATAGCTTAGTATTTATTAGGGATGCACCGATACTTTTCGAGTACCAATGCCGATACTTGACACTTTCACGATAACTACCAGGGTTGCAGCGTTTGCAGCTGTGACCTGGCTCTGGCGTTCCACCACTGTCCTGAAATCATTCGACGATATTGTTTTAGAAAAACTGTCAAATGACAATAAACAAAAATGTATCAGTACTTGTATCTGTGAGTACTTGGACAAGTACCAGTACTTGTACTCGCAAAACTGGTATCTGTGCATCCCTTTATTTAAATTTATAAAAACAAAATCGTACATTAAAACAGAGATGTACAAATCCCAGGAGCTCCGTGTGCTCCTTACAAATGACAGCTGCCTCCTAACTTTTGAGTTTTTCTCTAGTCTAGTCTTGGAGTTCGAAAAGTATCAGTACTTGTACCGAGTACTGTACTCGGTATCGGTGCATCCCTAGTATTTTTTTTTAATAAGTTGGTATGTTTTATATTAACACCTTTATTTGATGGTAGTTTTGCTCGGAGGAATTGGGCATTGTCCCACAAAATGTGTAATATAGAATTTTTTTTACATTACTGGCTGTATTTTTGACCATATGGCACTGTACTGGTCCCACAAAGAACACACTATCCTTTACTTATACATTGCTGGTCCTTACTAAATATATAAGTCCTGTTTGTGTTGAAGTAAATTTGCATCAGTAATTTGTTTTCATTTGTTACAAATTAATTGGTTTATTCCTCCTCTACGGAACACTGATCATTCATAAAGGAGTGCATGCCTTTCTGATCTTTATAGTGTGGACCCTATTACATAGCTGTTGGATTTTACTATTAAGAATATAAGATTGTTTTATTTTGCATTTTTGCAATTTGCAAGTTGGCTGGTTGAACTGATCTTTCTTTTTGAGGATTTGTTTTGCAAGAATAGTTTGTTGCTTTTAATAAGTGCAGAGGTGTATTTGTTGTTTTAAATATATAGCTTAGTATTTATTAGGGATGCACCGATACTTTTCGAGTACCAATGCCGATACTTGACACTTTCACGATAACTACCAGGGTTGCAGCGTTTGCAGCTGTGACCTGGCTCTGGCGTTCCACCACTGTCCTGAAATCATTCGACGATATTGTTTTAGAAAAACTGTCAAATGACAATAAACAAAAATGTATCAGTACTTGTATCTGTGAGTACTTGGACAAGTACCAGTACTTGTACTCGCAAAACTGGTATCTGTGCATCCCTTTATTTAAATTTATAAAAACAAAATCGTACATTAAAACAGAGATGTACAAATCCCAGGAGCTCCGTGTGCTCCTTACAAATGACAGCTGCCTCCTAACTTTTGAGTTTTTCTCTAGTCTAGTCTTGGAGTTCGAAAAGTATCAGTACTTGTACCGAGTACTGTACTCGGTATCGGTGCATCCCTAGTATTTTTTTTTAATAAGTTGGTATGTTTTATATTAACACCTTTATTTGATGGTAGTTTTGCTCGGAGGAATTGGGCATTGTCCCACAAAATGTGTAATATAGAATTTTTTTTACATTACTGGCTGTATTTTTGACCATATGGCACTGTACTGGTCCCACAAAGAACACACTATCCTTTACTTATACATTGCTGGTCCTTACTAAATATATAAGTCCTGTTTGTGTTGAAGTAAATTTGCATCAGTAATTTGTTTTCATTTGTTACAAATTAATTGGTTTATTCCTCCTCTACGGAACACTGATCATTCATAAAGGAGTGCATGCCTTTCTGATCTTTATAGTGTGGACCCTATTACATAGCTGTTGGATTTTACTATTAAGAATATAAGATTGTTTTATTTTGCATTTTTGCAATTTGCAAGTTGGCTGGTTGAACTGATCTTTCTTTTTGTCTAATACGCTCACGCTATTTTTATGGTGAATGTAAGATTTTTGTTAATGGCACTGAAGAGGTTGTCTTTAGGAGAGGGGATTATTTTCAGTTAGAGCGGTTAGGGTCTGGAACTCTCTACCACAAGCAGTGGTATCAGCTGATAGTGTTGACTCATTCAAAATGCATTTGGACAATTTCGTCAGAGACCGTAACATACAGGGGTAAAGGTACCCTTAAAAAATAAGATCACATGGGGACTCGTACACACGCATACACATGCAGAATCCAAAACATACACACACTAGGTTGAACTTGATGGACCTGTGTCTTTATTCAACCTCAAATACTATGTAAATATGTAACTATGAGATGACTTCTGAGTGGTTACTATGGGCCACTGCATCCTACACCTTGTTTTTATGCTTTGTACTGTTATAGTAATTAAGCCTATAAAGTTCTACAACATTCATTGGATCTCAAACTATTTTGTATTACTTGTATTATTATTATTATTATTATTATTATTATTATTATTATTATTCAATCAAATTGCTGACAGGAATGGTTGAAGAGCACAATGGATACTTACCAGATAACAATTTTCCAAAATACTTTCCCACTTCAGCCTCGCTGCATGTCCATTGATATTCTCCTGATAATAGTCTTCATCTGTTTTGGTCAGGACTTCTGTTGACTTTTTTAATTTATTGAGAAGCTATCCATTGAAAGAACAATATAAGAACAAAAAACACTTCTCATTTCTACATTTTCATCTACATAAACAATGAAGTCAATATTACGCTGTTCATAGTGGACCTACTCTCCTTGGCATATTGGAAATGTCAGTGAGTGTTTCAAAGTTGAGGCATAAGAAGCTCAAGCCCCTACTCTTCAGCACTACTTTTATGCCATATTGAAAAGCACCACCATCTTTTTATAGAGTATGGAGTTTATTGCGTGGATTTATTCACCCCATTTTCAGTGAAAAGATTGATTCACTACTTTTTAAATTAGCTAAATTAGCTTCCATTTATTAAAAACAATTAAACAAAGGTAAATGGCAAAATAAGGGACCTGGAAACTGCTGAATCAACATTTAAAATATATACATATTGCCAGGACAGTATAAGAAGAAGATATGTGCATGCATGTTTCTGCGCAGGGCCGGCCTTAGGGGTGTGCGAGCAGTGCGGCCGCACAGGGCGCCATGGCAACAAGGGCGCCGTGCGGCCGACACAGCTCGTCCTGGGGGCGGCTTCTCTCCCCCTCACCGCTCCGCCATCCTGACAGCAGGCAGCGCTCCCTCCTGCCCCCCCCCCCCCCCTTCAGGGGGATGGGGGGGGGGGGCAGGAGGGAGCGCTGCCTGCTGTCAGGATGGCGGAGCGGTGAGGGGGAGAGAAGCCGTGCCCGCAGCTGTCAGGATGGCCGAGCAGGTAGGAGATCGGAGCCGCTGTCATCCTGAAACTGACAGGATGACAGCGGCTCCGATCTCCTACCTGCTCGGCCATCCTGACAGCTGCGGGCACGGCTTCTCTCCCCCTCACCGCTCCGCCATCCTGACAGCAGGCAGCGCTCCCTCCTGCCCCCCCCCCCCCCCTTCAGGGGGATGGGGGGGGGGGGCAGGAGGGAGCGCTGCCTGCTGTCAGGATGGCGGAGCGGTGAGGGGGAGAGAAGCCGTGCCCGCAGCTGTCAGGATGGCCGAGCAGGTAGGAGATCGGAGCCGCTGTCATCCTGAAACTGACAGGATGACAGCGGCTCCGATCTCCTACCTGCTCGGCCATCCTGACAGCTGCGGGCACGGCTTCTCTCCCCCTCACCGCTCCGCCATCCTGACAGCAGGCAGCGCTCCCTCCTGCCCCCCCCCCCCCCCTTCAGGGGGATGGGGGGGGGGGGCAGGAGGGAGCGCTGCCTGCTGTCAGGATGGCGGAGCGGTGAGGGGGAGAGAAGCCGTGCCCGCAGCTGTCAGGATGGCCGAGCAGGTAGGAGATCGGAGCCGCTGTCATCCTGAAACTGACAGGATGACAGCGGCTCCGATCTCCTACCTGCTCGGCCATCCTGACAGCTGCGGGCACGGCTTCTCTCCCCCTCACCGCTCCGCCATCCTGACAGCAGGCAGCGCTCCCTCCTGCCCCCCCCCCCCCCCTTCAGGGGGATGGGGGGGGGGGGCAGGAGGGAGCGCTGCCTGCTGTCAGGATGGCGGAGCGGTGAGGGGGAGAGAAGCCGTGCCCGCAGCTGTCAGGATGGCCGAGCAGGTAGGAGATCGGAGCCGCTGTCATCCTGAAACTGACAGGATGACAGCGGCTCCGATCTCCTACCTGCTCGGCCATCCTGACAGCTGCGGGCACGGCTTCTCTCCCCCTCACCGCTCCGCCATCCTGACAGCAGGCAGCGCTCCCTCCTGCCCCCCCCCCCCCCCTTCAGGGGGATGGGGGGGGGGGGCAGGAGGGAGCGCTGCCTGCTGTCAGGATGGCGGAGCGGTGAGGGGGAGAGAAGCCGTGCCCGCAGCTGTCAGGATGGCCGAGCAGGTAGGAGATCGGAGCCGCTGTCATCCTGAAACTGACAGGATGACAGCGGCTCCGATCTCCTACCTGCTCGGCCATCCTGACAGCTGCGGGCACGGCTTCTCTCCCCCTCACCGCTCCGCCATCCTGACAGCAGGCAGCGCTCCCTCCTGCCCCCCCCCCCCCCCTTCAGGGGGATGGGGGGGGGGGGCAGGAGGGAGCGCTGCCTGCTGTCAGGATGGCGGAGCGGTGAGGGGGAGAGAAGCCGCCCCCAGGACGAGCTGTGTCGGCCGCACGGCGCCCTTGTTGCCATGGCGCCCTGTGCGGCCGCACTGCTCGCACACCCCTAAGGCCGGCCCTGTTTCTGCGAACATGGTAATTCACATGGAAATGCTGCAAGGACGCACGGGCACACAGGTACATGGACACTCATGCCTAACTCCAATTTACACCAGAAAGCCTATTTAAGAAATTGAGCTAAGTGAGGAAGTTGCTAGATGGTCTTCAGCTGTTACCCTGTGACCTGAACCTGCACCCGTTCCTGTGATCTACTCACTTGTTGCTGATTGGGCTTGCCCCTGTATTAGTCTCCGCACTGAGTTCCAATTGTGACCCAGCTTGTTTTTGACCCTCATCTTTGTTTGCCTGCCCATTGCTGACTCAGCTAGTTCCTAATCAAGACTTATGCTGACCTCCCAGTGTGACCTCAGCCTGTCATGGGTTCCAGTGTTCCAGCCAGCTGCTGTCTAGTCTACTTCTCTATGGTGACTTATAGGTTGAACCTACTATGTTACTATGTTAGTTCTCGTGCGAACCTGCTCCTCTGTAGTCTTTCTGCCAGTTTGCATGCTCACCTTGCAGTCAAGCTTTCTGCTAGAAGTGAGCATCCATGGACTGGCCTTTTGGCACCCATGCCAATCTGTGCCCTCTCATTCTCCGTTCTCTCTTCCAGGAGTGTTAACAGTTCACCAAATAGGGGATAATATAGCAGGAAAAGAAGGGTGAAATAAACCCTTCAAAGATTACTGTCTAGACTCACCTTCTGCCTCTCCTTCTCTGACAGAGGCTGTTTGGTGTTTTCATTTTCTACATTATGAAAAAGTACTTCATGTTTCTTAGTATGATCCACAAGCTTCTTTTTAATCTAAAAAACAGATAAAGGAGTTAAAGGTAGACTTCATTCTATTTAATATTAAAGGGTCAGTCCATCAAAAGCTGATATTACTGTTTCTGGTAGCTGCAGAAGAGATAAACCATCTGACATTTTCTTATACCTTCAGGAAATATATTGCCTAGGCAGGGCAAAGTAACATTGTCTCTGCCAAGGGATCCCCCCTATACTCACTTTGCCAGAACTCCTTTGCTGATGCTTGTTCCTCTGAAATGTTGGCACTGAAATGACTGGTGGCAGAAATCCTGAGCAGTGGTGAAGTCACTTGCCCGGTCATGACAGTACTCAAACCTGGCACTTGGCTAGTAGACCCAAACACTCTCACAGAGGGAGATCACATGCTACTCTATATCCAGACGTCTTGGGTATACTCACTGGCTGCAGAGGAGTAAAAAGTGGGTCACTGGTAAGTTGAGTTTGATCTTAGCAGAATTCCAGAGTTTCCTAGTCAGCCATAGCTGCCCACTTAATAATTTTGCAAATTGCTTAGAAATGCTGTTTAAAATACCAGTTCATGTTTGAATTGGTGTTTGTCCATTAAACAGCACCTTTCGGACAATTTGCCATCTTCAGCAAGACCTGTTCTCTGTTTCGGCATTTTTTATAATAAGGCTTTCTACCTGATAACACGTTGGCTGCTTTTTTCCCACTCCACATCTCCCGCATTGTAAATTCATGAAATACCTTGATCTGTTGTCTCCAGTTGTTTAGCACAACATTTGCACTTTTGTCAACTTCATTATCTAGCTTGGAGGGGAGAAAAATGGATCCATTAGTACAGCCGTTTATGCATTACAAATCTCTAAAATATCCTGAGTGTCAGGTACTCAGGACCAAAAGGCAAATCTCTGCACAGAAAGGCCATGCCTTGTATTATTCTTCATGAATAAAAGAGAACACATTAGGGACTTCATACAGTGCAGTCACCCAGACATCCCATCAGCAATAATCTTCCATAGCTCTGCATGTGAAGTCTAATTGCTATGCATAACTATACTTTGAACATTCTCATTGTTCTTAGTTCTATTCATTATCATATATGCACACAATAATACTGTATATACCAATGATATCACATGTGCTTCCACTTTTGCAGTCCAATTTAAGAAAACCCCACTATATTATTATTTTTGTAATATATGTCTTATCTTTTAGCTGTGTCTTTGGTGAAGACTGGCATGGGCTCAATGTTCAAGTGGAACGTGAGCTCCACTTGATCATCAGTAGTTTGTGTGTTCGGCAAACACACAAACTGTCAGGGCGTTCAGCGGGCTGTTTGCTCGCCAAGCTCCCCGCAATGCACTGTGTGCATTGGAGAGACCTGATTGGGTAAATCAATGCACCTGACCACAGGTCAGGTGCAAGACTTTGCCCAATCAGGGCACAGGGCCCTGTATGAACCATGATTGGGCAAAGTAATAATGTATTTCCCCAATCATGGCTCACAGCTAAGTCCCAGCCCCACACTATATAAGGCTGGTTACCCCGCAGCCTTATGAAGTGCGGTACTGGAGTTAAATAGAGAGTGTTTCTGTTAGTATATTGTAGTATAGTGTAGTGTAGTGCAGTGAAGGGAAAGCTAACTGGTGTCAGTGTAGTGAAGTGTCAGGGCCCCGCCGCCTCTTACATCAATGGCCTCACCTGCTCTTAGGTCGCTGGCCAGTCATGTAAGAGGAGGCGGGGTTTCTCTTAGGCGGGCCCCGCAGCCTCCTTCACTGTGAACGCTGGCCTCTTCTGCCATAGCTGCTGGCTGTCACTGACACAGCTTTGCAGCGGTTGTGAGGGGAAACGCCGCTGCTGAGCTGTGTAAGTGACAGCCAGCACCTTTATATGCCATAGCGACCCAGGCGACCCACACGGCATCGGAGGATTTTTAAGCAAGTATAAAGCACTAATAAATATAAGCAGCAATGTTTATGCAATGTGAATGGTAACATACTCAATAAGAAATATAAAGCAGTTGTTGCTCCAGTTTGGCTGCAAAAGTGAACTGCACTTTATGTATTTACAGAAACAAAATATTACACAAGCAAATAACAATTAGAGACAAAGATTGCTGGTACCCCTCTTAGTTTTTTTAACCTGGGAAATAGAACTTTAGTTTAGTTTAGTTTAACTGTCCCAAACAAAAATGTATCTTATTTGTGTATCACTCTGCTGTAGATCCTCCAATCATCTCTGAATTGGTGCGGACACTGTCCTTCCTTCTGGAGGGTGGCTACTTTTATTCTCCATGGTCCCTGTGTGTGTTATAAAGTAGCCACCTCTCCATGCTTGCTCTCGGGATGGACTACAATCTCACTACAAATTAATGAAGTACCGGGCAAGGGTTAAGAGCTCGTTTTTGTCTAGGTTAAAAAAACAAAAAGTTATACTCACCTGATCATTTGAGTCGACCAGCTCTTAGACCAGTCCCTGGAGCCTCTCTTTCCCTCTGATCACGTTCTATGTACAGTGTATAGGACATGAGGAGGCAGAGGGACATACCATCACTGCTGCATAGGAAGAGACAGGCTGGGTAGTGCACTGTGACAGCTGGCCGACTCCGAGGATTGGGTGAGTATTCGTATTTAAATGTTGAACCTAGACAAAAATGAGCAGTGAAACCTTGCAGGGTTAATAAAAAGAAATCCTGTGCTACTTGAAACATGGAAGCTATCATTGCCAATCTCCTTTGTAAAAATTATAGTTGCCTGGCTGTCATGCTGATCCAAGCATTAATACTGTCAGAGGCATTTATCTGAAACAAGCCAAATAGATCTGGATACTTTTTCCAGGTGAATGGCTCAGAAAGTATGGATGATATCGGATGAGTATAACAGACAGGGAGTTACCATTTTCAGAAGGAGGTCAGCGATAGCAGCCTACATACTTCTTCTCCAATGACTTTGCTGGTTACAAATATGTTTCCAGCTGCCTAAGAAATAACTGGATTTCATGTCAGAAGACGGTTCTGCCTGTGAATCTCTGGAAAATTATTGCCATCAGTAAAAATGTCGCCAGGCACATTCACGATAGAGCGCGGGGATGAAGGCGGAGAGCCCGGAATGAAAAATGATGTCTTTAGCGCTAGTCTAAACAAATCCACAATTCAAGGCCATAAATATAGCACAATTGTTTACCTTTTTTCTTCTCTTGTCGTGTTCTTCTAAGATTTGATTTGTTGGCTTTATGGCATCTTGTTGTATTGCCGTGCCAAGTTTTCTGGAAAGAAAAGAATACAGATTCTGCTGCATATGCCGGTGTACTGAGAATTTAAAGGGGGATTCCAGGTAAACAGATTTATACAGTAATGGGAGTTCCCCATTATCCGGCATTAAAGCAAACGGCACTCTCAAGCGACATGATATGTCCTCGTTTTTTTTTTGCCATTTGCTTGATAGACATGGGGAAACTACAACATTTCAAAATTCTCTGTTTACATCTTCCTGCTGGCCGGTAGCTAGATTCCTCAGCCTGCCGGTGAATGTAAACAACTTGCAGTGGGCGGGAGCAATTGTTAGCCTGCTATTGGCTATTTCAAATTGCAATAGTCAATAGCAGGCTGGCTATTGCACCCACCCACTGAGCAGAGAAGCGGACCTGAGAGAGAACTTTCTCGTTCAGGTCTGCCCCTCTGCTCATTGGCAGAAGGCAGTGGGTGGGTGCAACAACCAGCCTGCTATTGGCTATTTAATTTTAAAATAGCCAATAGCAGACTGGCGATTGGTCCCGCCCACTTCCAGCTGTTTACATTCAACTGCCAGCTGCGGAATCTAGATGAATGGGGCTGCCGGGGAGAGAGGGGTTGAGAGTGGGCGGTAGTTGCTTGAGAGTTAATAGTAAGTCTTAAGCAACCAGAAACTTCAGTTATTTGGCACCTACTGATGCTGGATAAGTAGGTGTTTTATTACTGTTTTATATTTGTTTTACTATTTATTTCCTATGCTCCTTAGCTCCATCTAGTGGCCAAAATGTGGTATTACAAGATGACATTTGAAAATGCATTTGACTTATAGAGAGAATATAACAAGGATGCTCGTTTTGTGCATCTATTTGCAGAGAACCAACATTCACAGGGATTTGCAGGGACACTGGCTCTGTAATATGTTTATAAACAGACCCCTTAGTGTGGTGTTGCATAAACAAGCAATCTTCTGAGTTTTTATTTGATCCTCCATGAATAGTCAGTATTAGGTCCAGACTGAACTCGTAGCAGTTCTGATTATTATCAGAAGGGATTATTTGTTTAATACTTTTTGGGCATTTTTTTTTTCCTGTGGGCTGATTATTCTCCATCCAATTTGATTAAATGATTAGGAAATTCCCAGCAAATTTGGGCCCCAAAATGATACAGAACAGAAAGCGATATAATTAGTTAATAATTATTGCATTATCTGTAAAGCTTGCATACACCATTGTGTGTAGGTGTGCTAATATGTGTGTTATTACCCATCTCTGATAGTACTTACTTATGTGTTTCAGAGGTTGCCTTCATTTCTTCAGCTGCGCAGGTCCAGGCACTGTTAATGCAACTATATGAGATAAACATAATTAAATGGAATTATTTGCACAGTAATTATTGTTATCAGCTTTGTAGGTCTTATTTGGCCCAGGAACACAATGGACTCAGCTAGAAAGGCCATCAGTTGAAGGCTGGGTAGAAGGAAGCCTTGACTACGCTGATCTTACTATCAACCTCATAGCCCAAAATCCTCAAAAATGAATGCATGAAAGATGCGGTGATGAACTTAACATAAATTGCCCGAAGATAGTTCTATCATTTGACATTTACTTCTATAAGAGGGTATAAGCTACTGACCAAGAGGGTGATACCAGGTCAAATGCAGGTACTTTAAGGGTATCTATAGTCATAAACTAAAATTAAATATGCATTTCTACAACCCCAATTCTAAAAAAGTTGGGACGCTGTGTAAAATCTGCATAAAAACAGAATGCAATGATTTGCACATCTCATAAACCCAAATTTTATCCACAATAGAAAACATGCCAAATGTTTAAAATTAGATAACTTTACCATTTTAAGAAACAAATAAGGTACTTTTGAAATTGATGGGAGCAACACGTCTCAAAAATGTTGGGACAGGGCCATGTTTGCCCGGGTGTAGAATCCCCTCTTCTTTTTACAACACTCTGTAAATGTCGGGGAACTGAGGAGACCATTTGCTGGAGTTTTGGGAGAGGAATGTTGTCCCATTCTTGCCTGATATAGGATTCCAACTGCTCAACAGTCCTGGGTCTGCTTTGTTGTATTTTTCATTTCAAGATGTGCCAAATATTTTCAATTGGTGAAAGGTCTGGACTGCAGACATGCCAGTTAAGCACCCGTACTCTTCTACTACGAAGCCATACTGTTGTCATTGATGCAGTATGTGGTTTAGCATTGTCCTGCAAGGCCTTCCCTGAAAAAGACATCGTCTGGATGGGAGCATATGCTGCTCTTGATGGTGCCTTTCCAGATGTGCAAGCTGCCCATTCCATACTCAGTAATGCACCCCTATACCATCAGAGATGCACTTTTGAAGTGAGCGCTGATAACAAGCCGGAAGTTCCCTCTCGTCTTTAGTCTGAAGGACGTGGCACCCATGGTTGCCAAAAAGAATGTCAAATTTCGATTCGTCTGACCACAGAACAATTTTTCACTTTGCAACAGACTATTTTAAAAGAGCTTTGGCCCAGAGAAGATGGTGGCCTTTTTGGATCAAGTTAAGATATGGCTTCTTCTTTGCTTGATAGAGCTTTACCTAGTGTTCTTGGATGGCACAGTGAACTGTGTTCACAGACAGTAATTTTTGGAGGTATTCCTGAGCCCATGCAGTGATGTCCATCATGTGAGGGCCTGAAGATCACGAGCATCCAATATTGTGTTTCAGCCTTGTCCCTTGTGCACAGGGATTTCTCAGATTCTCTGAATCTTTTAATTATATTGTGCACTCAATGATTAAAAACATGGTGCCCGCTGTTGATGCTTCAGTGTTGTACTTGGGGGGCACACCCTGTGCGCATGCCTATGAAATCCATATTGTGTACACCAATTTCCTTTGCAAACCTACATATTGCTTTGTAAAAAGAGCAGCAACATCATGACTGTGCTACAGATATCCTTGCAGAGATCAGAGCTGTGGGAGGAACCCAGCAGGCCCCACCCATTACAGGCTACAGGAGGGGGCGGATACAAGACCTGTCACCCTGTACAAGGAAAGAGAGCAGCAGTGGCTGGTCTTTATTACAGGAAGCTCCTACACAGAGGTAAACACACTGGATTACTGCACAGATCTGGAAGAAATACACAAACCACTCCTGAATTCAAGGAGTAATACATATAACTCTTGTATTTTGACAATGTTTGCTTTTCCTGGAGTCTCAGCTTTAAGTATTATCAATAGCTCCATTTACCAGTATGTACATTTCTAATACAAATTTGATTTACTTGTTTTTTACATCTTGGTATTTCAAGGATCTAATAGAGAGAAGTAATCTGACACTATAAAATGCTTAATGGCTCTTTCATAATGTCAAGATGATATCATGTGACAATGACTACACAGAGACGTTGCTCGAGTACAGTTCATGGTTCAGTATCCCGGTATACGTAGGTGACACATAATCATGCAGAAAACTATTCATCTCTCTGATAAACTGTCAAAACATCTCAGATTATTCACCTGCAATATACAAGGCAGCAATGTACAGAAAAAGAATTCATAAAACTCACGCTGCACCTCCATGGGCGATAGGTGATCACACTATCATGCAATAAAAATCTTAGAATTAGCTTTGATTATTTCTGAAATTATGACCTCTGATCCATTGAGTTCCTCACATTTTTTTTCTTTTTTGGCAAGCTTTATGTGAAGTAACATGTCCTGAGTTGATATACTTCACTGTAATGGCCTGCAATGTGTTTTGATGCGTTTTGATGCATTGCGTTGGCGTGTGTTTTTGACGTGTTGCATTGCTCTACGTTGCATTGCTCTACGTGTAGCATGCTCTACTTATTTTCAGTGCAACGTACAGCAACGCAGTGCTGCGGTGTGGATGTCCTCATTCACACCCATTAATTTTTCGTGCCCTTGCATTACCATCCATTAAAACGATAATACAAAATCCCCTGCACTTCATACAGAGTACAGATCTTAGATGAAACCTACCTAGTGCCACTATGTCGCCCAGAAGAAGGCACCCTGCCTTGCCCCCGAAGCGTTGGGTGTTTGATGCATGTGACGATCTAATAAAAAGTGCTTTATTTCTTGCACACATCATCGAGTGCTGGTGACTTCTATTATGGACCATCCATTAAAAAACAGAACGGGTCTGGTGTGAATGGGGCCTTAAGGAGTCAGAACCTGACAATTTGTGTCAGGTCAATTTTTTAGACAGTTGGACAGATTTTCCTCGCTACCTGTATAGTCACTGGGGCAGGAAAAGAGGTGCAATTTCCCCAGCACGTACACAGAGAGCAATAAAAATTAGCTTCTTGCTAGGACAGGAAGTAAAGAGAAAACACTACAATAGAGACATAGAAAAAAAAGCACATTTCAAATTAAGAAAGTGTGCTGACTTCTAAATTTGGGGTCCCCAGTTTGAATCCTGGCCAGATCACAATCTGCAAGGAGTTTGCATGTTCTTCCTGTGCTTGTGTGGGTTTTCTCTGAGTACTCCGGTTTCCTCCCACACTCCAAAGACATGCTGATAAGTTAATTGACTCCTGTCTAAATTTGCCCTAGTGCGTGTATGTATGCATGTGAGACAGGGACCTTAGATTGTAAGCTCTGAGGGCAGGGACTGATGTGAATGTGCAGTTTGTAAAGCACTGCACAAATTGACTGCCAGTATCCCACTGATGCTTGAGGGTCTATTAAATGGAGGCTAGGGTGCAGACACTGTAATACTACATTAATATCTAATCTTTATATCAAGTCATTAGCTTGGATTGCACTTAAAGCCAGGAATAGAATTCACAGAGGAACTGTCAAACAAAAAAGAAAATAGCAATAGCTGACCAAGTAGCTCAGTGTCACATTTAACCTCTGGAGTGGAGCTGTTGCTGGAGATCCAAATCTGGAAGTCACTTTGCACTGCTAAGGCGTTGCTTTCAACACTTTAAGACTAAGACCCAAAAGTATGCTGGTTTAGGAGATTTGTGATTGGAGCAATGTCATCATGACCATCAAATCTCAGTGGCCTCAGTGGAGCTCTTCCTAAGCTAAAAGGGTTAGATACTAATTTCTGTCCATTTCAAACCAGCTTTACTTACTTTGTCCATCGTTGCCCGGCCGCCTACTGGGCCCTTGGCGTCTTCACTTACAATGCAGGACAACTGGTCCTGTATTGTACATGATGATGTCAAAATGCCTGCAAGCAATGGAACACTGAACCAAAGTCATTTAGGTAAAATGGTTGCACAGAATGGAAGAGTGGACCAGGGATAAGGTAAGCAACAAAAAAGTGAAGGGGTCCCCCACTGCAAGGGTAATTTTGGATGTTCCCTGAAGTTCAGCTTTAAAGCATAGGTTTCTCCGCTATGATGCAGTCCTCTTATTATGAGTTTCTTTAAATAAATTACCTATAAAAACTATAAATGGGTAACTGCACTTTTCACCTAACCATTGCTCTTTCCATTGCTTTTTGCTGAATATACCTATGTGTTTAAGAGGTGCTAAAATGCATTGGGATTTTTTATTACAGTTGGGTATGTAGAGGCTGTAAGCCAAATGGGTGCCGAAATGTTTGAAACCCGTCAAAACCGAGTAGACACCCTCAAATCGATTTTGCAGCGTTTTCAGTGGTAAATCTTTTGGAACGGCTTATTATTGTTGATAAAACATGGTTACCACTATGACCCAGAGACCAAACCATTGTGTTTGGAATAGCAGCACTCAGGTTCTCTGTGGCTTAAAGTGACATTAAACCCTCAGAATTTTTAACATAAAACAATACTGTAATGTGTGCCTTATTGTAATCCATGGTTGTTTCCCTTCTCTTTGCTGCTCTTCCTTTGCTGCAAAGGAAGCATGAGAAGAGATATGGATTTAAAAGGAAGAGCAGCAAAGAGAAGGGAAACTACCATGGATTACAGTAAGGCACACATTACAGTATTGGTTTATGTTAGAAACATAGCGAGTGGAGCTGCAGAAAGGTGTTTTTTTTTGGGTGGTTTGTAGGACAATGAGCTCCCTCACAAGGCTGGTAATGCAAGGAATGTTTTGAAGAAATTGGAGCTTCAGTGCCATAGACCATCCCTACCCTACTGACCAGATCTTGCTCTGACTATTTCCTGTTTCCAAACCTTAACATTTTTGAATGATTTAAAATGCATTTGGTTAAAGAAATGTGAGAAACAATGTGTGTTGATCTTCAGGGTGAATTTGTGGAATAACATGTAAGTTGCATAGCTCTAGGTCATTCCCTTCTTGGTTGGGCCTAGAACTTCTCAGCACCTCTTTGTATGTTGAATTGGCAAACAAAACCTTTCTGCAAAAAACTTTGGTGGTAAATAAAAAAATGACTGACT